AGGGTGAGATGGAGAAGGGTGAGATGGAGAAGGGTGAGATGGAGAAGCCAGTGGGCGAGATGGCAATGGGTGAGCCAAAGATGGAGATGTCAGTGATTGAGAAAATGGAGGCTGAAAGAAGCAAAGCACCAAAGAGCGCAAAGAGCAGAGCGCAGCCAAAAGCCAAAGAAGTGGCAAAAACAAAAGCACCAAAAGGGAAAGATCATCCAAGCACTCCTGGCACCGGAGCAAAAGAGTGCAAAGGTTCCTCTGAAGCCAAGAGGGCGAAAGAGAACAAGAAGGTCAAGGGCAATGAATCTCACTCCTCTTCAAGTGCCACTCAACTCCAAGATGTTTGTTTCCAATCTTCATGCAAGCCGTGCATCTCGACAGACTTCTGCCTGTGATGCAACCGAGGCTGCAAAGAAGAATGATGAGGACCAGGATGAAATCTGGCGTCGGAGGCTTCATTCAGCACCTCTGCTGATATATTTTGCTGTGCTGACACTTGACATGCGCTTGGTTGTCGCTGCCACAAACATTTCAGCAAAGTTAGACAACGTCATGTTTCTCCTTTTGGAATTTCAGGTCTATAGTGCGGCATGGACTGCAGCACGCAGCGCAGGCAAACCAAAAGATCAGTGGAAAGTATTGGCATCAGCAGCAAGGAAGGCGTTTCTTAACTCAATAATCCAACAACAAGCCATTACATGTAACTAACAACATCCCTTTCTTACAAAGCCCCTCTATTCGCTGCACACAAGGTATGTGGCAGAGAATGCCCCAGCAGACAGTGCTGTGGCCCGGAAACTTCACTGAAGATTAGTGCTGTACCTGAAACAATATGAAACACACGGACATGGACCATGGACATCTTACTGTAGCCTTTCTCTTTGTGGTTTACTTTTTTTCCTTGCCTGCCAACCTTGCAACTTGCAAGGAAATTCCTTGATTGATCCACAATGGATGGGTGGATTGATGAGTTGGGGGTTGGCAAAGGCCCCCAGGGGTTTGGCTAAAATGCCATCGGATGCAAGTAGTCATCCCAAATCTTGAACTCTCCAACGGTGCAACTCCATGGAAAACTGTGCGCAGTTGTGCTTAAAGCCACTTACTGTGCTGTGTTTTTCAAGATTCCGGTCCTCCAACCAATGCCACTTGCAGCATCCAAGGTTGCATGGCGCTCCAGTGTCCACAAAGAGGATAGCCAGGTGGGCATGCCTATGCCTATTGGGTTTGCTAAAATCTCCTATAGGGTTGCCGGTCTTACTTCTGGGTGCATTTATGCATTTTGCCCACTGACCGCCAGGAAAGGATCTTGATCTATGTGATGGGAGTTGAGTCAGGAAACAGCCCACTTGGTGCTGGCTAAAATGCCGTTGTCATAGATGAGGTGCTGGACATGATACGCTCTGAAACCACATGGCAACCAAACAATCTTACT